ATCATTAGTAATCTTCCTGATTATTTCATCTATTTCATCAGTCTTCAGTAACCTAGAAGAAGGTTGATGATTAAAAATTGATTCAAGAGAAAGTTTCAAGAATTTTTTGAGGCACAAAAAAATGAGGATAGTATGACTATACCATCTATGGTGCAGAAGGAGATATGAGACTTGAATTAATGAGAATGGAAAGGGCATTCAAGAATACATTATTTAATTAGAAAGTGATGGCACTATGGTCAGAAAGTTATGCATTAACTCTTATACCTCTAAAGCTTTAATATTTCTTTAAGCAAAACATCTTCATAACCTCCCAAATTAGAGTCTAGTTATAAAAATTGATTAGAGTGAAACAGTTTGATAAATTTTAAAACCTGTAGGTTCTAAAGAATTTGACGATGGAATTGCTAGATATGCCATATAAATGAATGTTGAAATTAAAGAATGGTGGCCTCAAGTCAGTGTGCTCCCTTGAATGTGTATCTCTTTTGCCTGTCTCTATGTATATATGCTTATTTGCTTTTCCACTCTGGAGAAGCTCATGTGCTCTCTTAAACATATACTTCTCTCTTCTTTCACATCTTTCCAAGCAAGTTTCATTTAATAAAGTCTACCTTGCTTCACACACACACAAAGAAATTAATAAATGGGCAGGAAGTTTATGTGGTGGAGATTGATTACAAACTAGATACCCATATCTAGCATCCATATGGATTTCAGTTGACTCTTAGAGTTGGCAAGGTTGTTTTAGAAATTCTCTGGAAGGAATAACTTTTCAAAACCTCATTAGGGAGTTTAAGAATATAATGTGAAGCCAGTTTCAGACAGTGAGGGCAAGCAAACGATGTAGAGAAAGCTTGGTAGGTGACAATTTCAAGAGCAAAGTATATTACTGAAAAGGTCTCTGTGGTGTGGATGAACACGGCAGCAGTGTACTTTTGAGTATTTCTATGTTATTAAGAACTTGCAAGTTGCAGCTCCCTGAGGGTCATCCCGTACACATTGGCATTCCAGACCCAGCTAGCTTTACATCCATGTCTCTAAATCTCTCACAGAGATGACTGTTAAGAATTTAGAATTTCATACATTTGTTGACTTGTGACTGATTCACCGTTTTGTTGCTCAAGATAAGACTTGGAGAAGTCTTAAAGATAAGGGTTGTCCTGGTGAGTATCTGCTTATCCCTGAACATCAAGAGAAATGCAGGACCCAGATGGTTTCCTTTTCAGATTGATGGGATACCCTCCCAGTCCCAGGACATGACCAGAAAGCCAAGCCCCACTTCACTTGATTATCTCATCCTGGGCATAACCCCCCCACTACCTTGAGTCTCAGGGGAGTCATAGAACTTATTTTGGGAACTATGTAACTCTCAGTTCAGAAAAATATGTGAAAGTGGCCTCTATCTACAGAAACTGGGTACATTACTTTCCTGTAGGAAATAAATCAAGAGATTAAGTTACAATTTGAGGCTGATATATTTCTTTTCTTTGATAAATGTGATTGTGCTTTTATAGGAAGTTTATTTTAAAATATTAAGACTTTGACTCTCAGCACAAAGTTGAATAAAATATATCAGAAGAGAATATATATATATATATAATTCAGCAATATAAAGTCTTAAAATAGGTATAACTTGTCAGTGGTGTTAAAAATCAGGAGAGTCTTTGATGGGAAGCTGAGTATGTCTGAAAACTCCTAGAGGACAGTTTGGACTGAATGTGATGTTTGATTTTTTTATACAATTCTGTTGAATCTGTCTATTCTCTGTCTCTCTCTTCCTCTCTCTCCATGTATATATATATGTATATATACATATATATGTGCACATGTATATTCTATATACTCTATTCTATATATTATGTTTGGTACTATATTTTATATACTCTATCTATCTATCTATCATATATCTATCTATATGTGTGTATCCAGATGCATAAGAATTGTACTTTGAGGTCTACAAATTAGTGTATGTTTAAGGTGCCTTCTGCATGGTGGTCCAGGGCATCACCAGGTGAATCCCCAGAAGTCACAGAGCACCACCAAGGTAGACAGGTTAATTCCTAGTCCTGCAATACCTGAGAGTCACTCTAGCCTTGAACCTTAGCATTGAACTGCTGGCTCCAGTTCTATATGACAATCACCAGGAGTGATACCTGTGAAGTCCTCAGTCCCTCAGTATCACTTGTGAGTTCCTTTTGACACATAAACATAACATATTCTTGCATGATTGTTATAACAATGTTGACATTTGATAGGAAACTGTCAAAATAAAGCCTTATGTTAATAATATTAATAATAATCTGTAGCGCTGTAGCACTGTCCTCCCGTTGTTCATCGATTTGCTCGAGCGGTCCCAGGAACATCTTCATTGTGAGACTTATTGTTACTGTGTTTGGAATATTGAATACATCACGAATAGCTTGCCAGGCTTTGCTGTGCAAAGATACTCTCATTTACTTGCCAGGCTCCCCGAGAGGGGCAGAGGAATTGAACCTGGCTCAGCCAGGCAGGCCACGCGCAAGGCAAACGCCTTACCACTGTGCTAATAATATATGTTTTAAATGGCATGAGTCTTACACTTTTTCATTATGTTTTGTTAAGGAAAATTCAGGAGTTCAAATCTTAAAAATAACTTGAAAATTATTTTTATTTAAAATGTGAATGCATAATTTTAATGTTAAAATTCCATTGTCATTTCTCTGACATCATGTAACCCAGGATGGCTGGAGCGATAGCACAGCGGGTAGGGCATTCGCCTTACAAGCGGCCAACATAGCCGACCCGAGTTCAATTCCTCCGCCCCTCTCGGAGAGCCTGGCAAGCTACCGAGAGTATTGGATATGCCAGACACAGTAACAACAAAGTCTCCAATGGAGACGTTACTGGGCCCGCTCGAGCAAATCGACGATCAACGGGAGGGCCTTTACCTTTTACCTTTACCATGTAACCCATGTACAACCATCTGAAATGCCCAGCTAGCTAGTGGTTGTAGCTTTTTCTATTCTCAAACTGATCATTTTACCTTCTTAGAAAACTCACCAAAACTGTTATCATTTGGTAAAATACTAAGTTGTTTACTTTGTTGCCTTCCGTAGCATATGAATAGAGCTCTCCAGAGATTTTTTTCCTTAAATTTTTATTAGTGAAACACCATGAGGTACAGTTGCAGACTTTCAAATTTTTGTGCTTGGGTTTCCAGAGATTTTTAATGTTTAAACACATGCATAGAATTGTAAACAAAGAGTTAAACCTATAATGCAGCTCCCACTTGAAAAGATGTGCTGTTATTTATGGTTGTTGTTACTTTTTCTAGCCAGTTTTTATGGGAGAGATGAACACAACCAGGTCCCTTGGGGAACATCCCTGCTAGGCTCTGGGATTGAGATGCGGATTCTAACATGCACCGCCACCCATTGAGCTATCTTCCCATCCCCTTAGATTCCAACAAGACCAGATTTATGTAGTTTTTTACCCTATAAATTTGATTAAAACTTGAATCAGTAGAATTTGAGTTCTACAAGCCTCATTTCAAGTGTACAATAATCATATGTGACTAGAGACTATTATAATGGACAGAGTAGAGTTAGATTTGTCATTGTCACTGAAAGTATTATTGGATAGTACTAATTTATATAAAGAAAATAATAATTTTTCTTGATATTTTTTCTTTGGTTAAATAAAATTCTTGTTTGATAATAACATTGTAATGGCGACTCACAAGTGTTTCATATACAATATTCAATAATAAATGATTGGTAAAAAGAACCATATAATAAAGTAGTAATGCCTAAAATTAAAATATCACTTAAATTAAAAATATATAGCTTGTTACAGTTTGTGAAGACTTCTTTCTACTGTTCCACTTCCAAGTATTTCACTAGTAAACAATTTTAAGTTGTATTATAAGAAATTTCTATTGACACGGTAGAACCCATCTAGTTTATTGTGCTCATATCTTTATTAGTTGATAGGGATCAGGATTTAGTTCAGCAATAGAGTATGTGCCTTGCATGTGTGAGATCACAGGTTCAGTCACAAGGACCATGAAATACAAAATTCAAATGCAATGGGTTTATCTTTTTAAATATTCTAAATGATAAGGATCTTTAAAACATTACAGGAAAAAAACTTACAACATAATACAGTATGATGAAAAGAAATTATTAAAGTTTTTTTCTAACATTTCAAATTATAATATGGCATTAGCCAGAATCTCTTTACACAGCTCTAGAAATTTTCCTAAACTGCTCTGAGCAATTTATATATATATATTTATATATAAATCTTCAGTTTATAATCATTTGACATATTGTGGTATATTTTTTTAAATTAGGAAATAGCAAATTAAATAATAATCAATAGTGATGACTATTATACAAGACAGTAATATATACACAACCAATGTCATAATTATAACTTTTTAGATCATCACATAGAGTAGAACCTATACAAAATGCCAATCAAAACATTTGATTCCAAGACTCCATTCTGTTAGTGACTATGTCTTTTGCATCAAGATTCAATAGTCATTAGTATTGTAATAGGAGCCAGTCAGCCCAGTGGACACAAAATCTGTGAATCTGTATGAGTTTTCAGAAAAATAAGCTTTTTAGAAGGCTTTAGTCTATCATTATACCAGAAATTTTATGCTTTCAAAAATTAATGTTAATCAGTTTAACAACGTCTGGGCTGGAGCGATAGATAGCACAGCGGGTAGGGCATTTGCCTTGCACAAGGCTGACCCGGTTCAAATTCCTCCGTGTCTCTTAGAGACCTAGAGTATCCCACCCTCCCAGCAAAAGCCTGGCAAGCGACCCATGACATATTCGATATGCCAAAAACAGTACCAACAAGTCTCACAATGGAGATGTCACTGGTGCCTGCTGGAGCAAATCAATGAACGACAGGAGGACAGTGCTACAGTGTACAAAGATTAACGTTCTTTTAAAATGTCCCTTTTCTTCTTAAATATAATCTATTTTTATTTTACCTCCTAGGCTACTGATAAGGATACTGGAAATTACAGTGCCATGGCATACAGACTCATAATACCACCAATCAAAGAGGGAAAAGAAGGATTTGTGGTGGAAACCTATACAGGACTTATCAAAACTGCCATGCTCTTCCATAATATGAGAAGGTCCTACTTCAAGTTTCAAGTAATAGCAACAGATGACTACGGGAAGGGACTTAGTGGCAAAGCAGATGTTCTAGTAAGTAATTTCTACTTTTTAAGTCGATAAAGGGGAAATGCACAATATAGATAGGTGCAGTGTTTCAATTCAAAACTTTCTTTTGCTATTGTCTTCACTACACCTGGTGGTGCTTGTGGGGAAAGGGCCCCTTCGCCAGACCAAGAGTGTCATGGCCAGTGATACTGGGGGGAGGCCAGAAATGCTGAAGATGAAAACCAGGACCTCACGCAAGGAAGGAATGTGCTTTCCGCTTGAGTCACGTACTCCCTACTTAGGCCACATCTCTGCTTCTCAAATGTTTTGAGGGGCTGTGGGGTACACACACTGGAATACTCAGGGTTTACTCCTGGCTCTGTGCTCAGGAATTGCTCCTGATGGGCTCAGGGGACCTTGTGGGGAATCAGAGATCAAACCTGGGTTGGTCATGTGTAAGAAGTAACCTACCTACTGTACTATCTCTTCAGCTGCTGGTTCTCAAACTTTTAAATTTATTTGAAATAACTGTATTTTATAAAACTTAGGCATATAATTTTAAGGTGATCAATTGCTATAGGTAGACAACAAAATATGTTTTTATGGTTATATCTTAGAATTTTAAAAAGACATTATAACATGGTTTGGGATTGTGGTAACAACATTAAAAACATTGAATTTCTATTGGTGTAAAGATCTAGTTTTAAAACTGAGTTGGTTGGAGTTACTTAAAATTTAAAAATGCTTTGGCAAATTGTGTTGCCATAATAAAAATCATGCAATTTTCATTACTGTGTAACTTACTTTTAAATATTTTTTAGTGACAAAAACAAAGGAAATTGGGAGGCAAATTTATCATAATAGATATAATTTTATCTACCAAAATCCTCCTTAAATGCATAGATAAGTTTTTACTAAATCATTTTATTATTCAGTATCGTCATTGATTCTAACAATGTAATATCAGGGACAGATCCCAGTAGCACTGACTTCCATGGTTAAGTGGAAGGTTTCACTTTACTGAACTTGTTATAATTAGTCAACATAGTATTTATTCTGGGTGGTTAATATAATAAAGCTACCGGCATATAGTTGGCATTAAAGGGCTGAAAAAGGGATAAAACACGAGGACTGGGCCTCTCTGAGTGTTGGGAGATGATGCTTGCCGAGAAGGAAGAGAATCTGAAGCACTTAGCGACAATCCTGAGACATTCTTCCTGAAGGAAGAAGACCTTCATGATCATTGGTGCGTAGTCCAGAAAGTATAATATTTTGACCCAGCAATTCCCCAAATTTATGCTTTATTTCAAGTTTGTGTTATCAGAACCATCTATTGAGTGAGTTTAAGTGAGAGCAACTCTCACAATCAGTTATTTTTTTATTCTTTTTTTTTTATTTTTGCCCCACTTCTTTGAATCATTTTCAAAAATTAGTGTGTCTTTAGATTGATCAGTTATTCTTCTATTTTGACCCAGTCTTTCCCTTATTTGGGTCTGTTCTTTCTCAATAACATCTACCTTCTTATGAATCAGGGTCATTACAATGACAATGCACAAAAAAAACATTTATTTCATGAAATGTCTACCCACTGGGAAGCATATCTGTGCTTTCAGGAAGAACTTAGTAGAATATAATAAATGTGAAAATTAGTAGCAGTATCATTAAAAATGTATCACTTAAGTACTGAATGTCTTTTGTCTTTTTTTTTATTTCATTAAAACTATTTTTTTCTCAGGCTGGAACAGTAGTACAGTGGGTAGAGCATTTGTTTTTCATGCGCCCAATCCAAGTTTGATTCCCAGCATCCCCTAAGTTCCTCGAGCACCACCAGGAGTAATTCCTGAGTGCAGAGCCAAGAGTAACCTCTGAGCATCACAGGGTGTGGCCTAAAAAGCAAAAAAAAAAAACCCCAAATTTTTTTTTTCTCAGTACCAATTTAATTTGTTGAACAAGTTTAATTTTCAAGTATATACAAATCAAATGATCAGATAATTATACTCTTAGTGGAGAAGACTTATTTCCACAAGTATGGGGGTTATGAAGACCAAAAGATTCTCATTAAGTATAACTTAATTTCAGTAGCATAAATAAAGTTCACACAAAGCCAAGAGGTTTCAGATATAGAAGATACTATGGTTGATATATACTTTTTCACAAGTTAAGATGTGTAAATATGATATGCAATAATTTTTCATTAGAATTTTTGTTAAGATGCATGCAGTGGTGCTTTAAACAGAGTCATACACTTTTAATATAAGTTAAAATATAATCACTGTCACTACCACTGTCCTGTTTTTCATCGATTTGCATAAAACAATTAAAATATAACTACATGAATTATATTTGTAATACATGAATAAGCAAGGCCCAGTTTCAGCATTCTGATTAGAATCTAGTGTGTAGGGAGGAGCGTTAGTACAGCAGGGAGGGTCTTTGCCTTGCCAGTGCTGATCTGGGTTTGATCCCCAGCTCCCCTTTTGGTATCCCAAGCAAGCCAGGTGTGATTCCTGGGCATAGAACCAGTGGGTCTAGAGCACTGCTGGGTGTGACTCTTTTTCCTTCAAAAATATTGTGTAAACTTCAAAGAGCCATACCTAGTGGTGTTGGGGTGGAGTGCAGTGGTCATTCCCTCTGATCTTCTTATCTGAAGGTACTCAGGCAATCCCCATGATGCCTACAGAAAATGTGACACTCGGGGTTGAACTTGGAGCCTTACATGTGTTTAGCATGGACTCCAACATGTGAACTGTCTCCCTAGCCCTAGAGATAGCTTATGTGGTTTTGCTTGTCTGCTTGGTGGTTTTGCTTCTTTGCTTTTGTGTAGAGGGAAAAATGTAGCAAATGAAGAGAATGAAGAAATAGATGAAAGATCTGTGTAAATAATACTCAACTTGAACTAATGAGTAGGGAAGTAAATAGGAGATGAGACTATGAATGCATATAGATATCACTATCACTATCACTATCACCCTGTTGTTCATTGATTCGCTTGAGTGGGTACCAGTAATGTCTCCATTCATCCCTGCCACGTGCTAGTGTAGCCCGATGGCATATTGGGAGCTTTTTCAGGGTCAGGGGAATGAGGACCATCATTGTTACTGTTTATGGCATATCCAGTATGCCACAGGTAGTTTGCCAGGCTCTGCCATGTGGGCAGGATACTCTTGGTAGCTTGCCGGGCTCCCTGAGAAGGATGGAGGCTTTTGGGGCAACCTCTAATCACCTTTACACAGGTGTTCCCAGTCAGGCATATATGTGAGCTGGATGCTCTCGGTAGCCTGCCATTTTTCCTGAGAGTGACAACTAGACAATAAGAGTTCACACGGCTGCAAATGTGGCCATGCACTTCTGGGAGCTTGTTTTTATAGTCTGGATCTTGGCTGTGATGTGGTTACACAGCAGTTGGTGGTGTAACTGTCTAGCTACTGGAAGGTGGGGGATCTTGGTGAAGGAGGCCCAGTCCCGATCCAAGCAGGCTTGGAGATCTCAGCCTTGGGTCCCGCACACATCCACCACCCAGATCTCTTAAAATAAATCAAACTAGCCATATATCAGTATCTTTGTCACAATGAGAAATTTATCAAAAATCATAAGACCAAAAGTATCTTAGTTGTATTTTAATTATAAAATTAACACTATGTTGTATTTTTCAAAAATAAAGTTTATGACAAAATAAAATTTGGTTCCTTAATAATTAATAACTAAAAAAGAAAATAAACCCAACACAGTTGGAATTACTTAGGATGAAGTGACTTGTGGGTAAGCCACAAATAGTCAATTGATCCTAACCTAAGTCAGAGATTTTGCTACGACAACAAAATCCATGTATGTGTACAAAAGGGGGGAGAGATCAATGTTTGATTACAAAAATATTCTTGAGCAAAAGCTAAATACTTTATCATTTTATTTCATTTTTTAGGTCTCTGTGGTCAATCAACTGGATATGCAAGTCATTGTTTCTAATGTGCCTCCTACTCTAGTGGAAAAAAAGATAGAAGATCTCACAGAGTAAGGAACTTTTCTTTATTTTTAAACTTATTTTATATTTAATATTTATTTATGTTTTTCATAGGACTACAATTTAACTGGATCATTATATATTGAAATTAAATCTAATATTAAAACACTTAATAAAAAATTAAATTTCTTTCACTTAAATAAGAAGCTCGCTTGAATTATGTAAAGATTCTGAGAGCACTTTCGATTAAAAATGAAAATTAAGTGTGAAAAAGAGCCATTATTTGCAATATTCTGCCTGATACATCAACAACATTTTATGACACCCTGTAAGTGAAAGATGACACAACATTCATTTTTGAATTTATATTTTTATTTTGCCTTTTGTTCAGAAGCAAGAATTGCAAAGACTTACATCATAAGAGTGTTGGGAGAATGAGTATGAGAGCAGAGTAAACATTCAATAATAATTATATGTTGTATATAATTTTATTTTTTCAATAGTAAAGATTATGTAGGGCTGGAGCGATAGCAAGGGCTGGAGCGATAGCACAGCGGTAGGGTGTTCGCCTTACAAGCCAACCCGAGTTCGATTCCTCCGTCCCTCTCGGAGAGCCCGGCAAGCTACCGAGAGTATTCGATATGCCAAACACAGTAACAACAAAGTCTCCAATGGAGACGTTACTGGGCCCGCTCGAGCAAATCGACGATCAACGGGAGGGCCTTTACCTTTTACCTTAAAGATTATGAATAGGGTTAGTGCTCCAAAGTCAATAGCTTAAGACAGGAAATGTCAGAGATTTTATACATTCTGCTCAAAGGACAGAATTGAACCTTTTTTTCTCTTGTGAGCTTTGGGGGTGACCTAAACAATGAAGGAAAAAAATATTTAATATTAATTTATCTCACTTATACAAATAAGTAATTGAGAAAACAACAGCTGCCACATTTTACTTCGAGTGTGTGAAAAAATACATTGTCAACCATAAATTGGAGCCTCTCTACTATAAAACTAATGCAGTGAGCCTCTACACTTTACTTTTTATAATGAAATTTATGTCTGGAACTAATTGAAGATGTGTGTAAAGGTAACTGCATAAAGTGATTTTATAAATTAAAGTTTGGGGAATATCACCATTTGAGAATCACTACATCTAAGAATAAAGTTATTATGGCATATATATATTAACACTATATATTTGTGACTCTTAAGACAAACTCTTTGTGGTGACAGAGTGATAGTAGATCAGGTAGATGGCTTGCCTTACTCATGGTCCTGAGTTCAGTCCCCAGAATCTCATATAGTCCCAGGTCCCAGGTGCATCCAGGAGTGATCCCTGTGCATGAAGTCTGGAGTAAAGCTAAGCACAATCAGGTGTGGCCCTCAAAGAAGAGAGAGAGAAAGAGAGAGAGAGAGAGAGAGAGAGAGGAGCACATTTGAATTATAAATATTTCAATCAAAGAAACATTTCTTACACGTATGCTAAAAGAAAAATTTCACAAGCCACTTCTTCATCATACATTGCACATCACTAATAGTGTAGTAAATATTTTTCATGCATATAAGCAAGTATTTATATATACACATTGCAAACATATAAATATAGCAATACATTTTATAAGTATTTTATATTTAAATAAATATATACATATTTGATCTATATTAAATAGAAATGTAATTTATGTCAATGTAACTTTTTAGAAGTTCAACTTTGAGGTATGTGGGACTCTTGGACTCCCCCAACTTTTCTCGAGTTTAGTCCTGTTTGGTGCCCAAGGATCATTCCCAGCAAACTCGGAACCATACACGGGGCAAGATAAGCACCTTTCTGGTTGTACTATCCTTCCAACCCAAAGTTTAGATACTTTTATTTTTTATCTCAATATCCAATAATTACTAATACTAAGTAATACATTTTCAATTTTTAATAGAATACAGAACAATCAACCCTAATGGAAAATTTAATGTTTTATTATGATTTTATTATAATAAATTTCACTTTATTTTATTACAGTGGCAAAGACATTTCTTTGCTCTGAGAAAGTTTTCTATAAACAAATGCTATGTTGCTATATATATATATATATATATATATATATATAATGTGCTGGTTTTATATTAAATTGCAATATGACTTTCAAGAAATTTTAGTGAGAAAGTATATTTGACTGGACATTTTCATAGTACAAATTTCTATCAAACAGTACCATGAACAACTACAGCTTTAAGCCGAATGCAAAATATGTGATCAATTGAATTACAGAGTCTGGTAGGACCAATTAGACTCTAACGAGAATAATTAGACAGATGTTCATATCATGGGAGGATTAGAAAAAATGACTTGTGCTTCAGTACAGTTGGATTTTAAAATGAAATATGCATAAGACTACTTCTGATGTGCTTGAATTTGTATGCAAAGGGGAATTTATTGGAAAACTGTTGGGAACTAACATTTTCAGTACAAGTATGAAAGACAAACTGGAGAATAATAAAGAATAAGTATAGTTTTAGGAGCATGGGAAGAAGAACCAAATGGATGATAAGTAGATAAGCAATTTCAATGCAGTGGAATGTCACCCTTTCTCTGCATAAGTTCTAGCTGTCTTAAGCGTTGTCCCTGATTCTAAATCAAAAGTATAGAGAACCTGTACTGATCTGAGTCACAAATAGTTAATAGTTATTTTCATCGGTAGTGGAAGTTTGACTGTGGAATGGTAGAAAAAAAATCACATATTTAAATCATTCTAGATTCCAATGTTGACGTTATAGTAAATTTCACAAAATGAAATCAGGGTGTTATTGGAGAGTTAGCAGAAATGTTTTATAGTCTTCAAAAAAATATCTACATATCCATTAGTTTTTTTTAAAGCATTCATACCTTTATAATCAGTGTGTCTTTTGTGGAACTGATGAAGTTAATCAATTTTTTTGTTTTGTTTTGTTTCATGAATAGTTTACTATGGGGCTAGGGATGTGGTTCCGTGTTAGAGCATAGGTAACCTACTTTGAATTGTAGGTTGACTGTGACAATTCACTGATGACAATTCATTTGGAGACCTATTTACAGAGACTAAATAGGTGCAGAAATATCTTCCTATAATATGCCTCAAATGAAAACAAAGAAGTTTTATTTAAAGGGGAGATTCTAAGAAGGATTAAAGGAACTTATGCAACAAAAGTAAGAGTATTTTATGAATAGGAAAAAGCTCTAAATGTTCTTTCAGCAAAGATTAGACAGAAAATGAATTTTATAAAATAAGGTTGGGTAAACAATGCTACAAAAACTGTCATTTCCATGACAGCTAAGTCTCATTAATACTCAGAAATATTCCTTAGCTATCCATAACAAAATAAGTCGTATTTTCAAGTTCCTATTCTTTACCTCTGAAATAATTTCCGGAAGCTGGGATTTATAGTCCCTGGATCTTTGCCATTGATGGGATACCATGGCGCTGGGGACAGTTGGTGGGTATAATGCCTACTGGAAGATTGGGGATCTGTATGGAGGAGACCCAGTCCTGATCTGAACAGGCTTGGTGATCTCAGTCCCGCACACCTGGGTTCCTCTGCTGGTTCCTTCATGTGTGAGGCTCATCCAAACATGTGGAGAGTGGTCTTAAGCATGGCTGTGGCTAGTTCCGGAGGTCTTTAGCTGCCGGGGCTCTACTCTGGGCAGGGAGGAAAACTCAACCCACCCTCCTCCAAGGGGCTCTGGTGAGGACAGCCAGGTGCAGGGGCAGGAGACTAGGTTTTACCTAGTGAAACCAAAAGTTAATACAGATTTTTTTCCAATTATAATGTACATTATTGCTTTTTTTAAGGATATGTGTGCTTCTTGATTCATGCACATGTAATCATACATCACATTAATACCATAATAGAAGAAAATTATGTGATTTATTTATGGCTAACAATTAAGGACTGTTTTGTATCTTTTTATAATTACTGAATAGACTGGTATTCAATGAATTATTTATCTCCTTAAGACCATTAGTTTTTAAGGAACTAACTAGTCTTCCAACCCCTCACCTTAGACTATTCTAAAATAGTGACTGACAGTTCTTTCAAATACAAGGTAAATTACATTACTGCAATGTTTAAAATCTGGCAATGGATGCTTATTTTACAAAAAAAATGTTTTATTCTAGTCACAGACTTCTGCACTATGTCTTTTGCATAAGTGGTGAACAATTTTATTTTTCTGAAATATTCCAGGAACACTTGGAATCTTTGGGGAAGGCACTTTGCAGGCAAAGCTTTTCAGTGACTTATGCAAACCAATGACTTATGCATACCCATAGTTTGCATAAGAAGTTCACAAACTTTGCAGGATCCGTGACTTTTGCTTGCAACATATATATTTAATGTAATGAAGCAGAGATAAGTTTTATAAAATATATTAGGCATGGATGTGCTGATAAGTCATAGTTATTAAATAAAATACATTCTCTTTTAAAAAGCAAAGTCAATTGGGGGCCAGAGTGATAGTACAGAGGTAGGATGCTTAATTTGCATGTAGTTCCCAGGGTACCATCTACATTATCCCACACTGTCCCTCTGCAGTCAATTCTTAGCTCCAGAGCCAGGAGTAATCCCTGAGCATTGGCAGATGTGACTCAAACTACTCCCCCCACACGCAGTCCCCCCTGTGACTCATGCAAAATAAATAAAGGAAAAGAAAAAAATAGTCAACTTAATTTTACATAGATTTACCACAACATATATGAAAAAAATTCAAAATTGGATGCATCTCTTTTTAGCATCACAGCAATTTTATTTATAAGGATTTATAAGGATTTTCATTTATAAGGCAAACGCCCTACCGCTGTGCTATCACTCCAGCCCCGAGTTCGATTCCTCCGCCCCTCTCGGAGAGCCCGGCAAGCTACCGAGAGTATTCGATATGCCAAACACAGTAACAACAAAGTCTCCAATGGAGATGTTACTGGGCCCGCTCGAGCAAATCGACGATCAACGGGAGGGCCTTTACCTTTACCTTTACCTTTTCATTTATAAGAATTTATTTTATTTATTTATTTTATTTATAAGGATTTATTTATATTTTATTTATAAGGATTAAAGGAACTTATGCAACAAAAGTAAGAGTATTTTATGAATAGAAAAAAACTCTAAATGATCTGTCAGCAAAGATTAGACAGAAAATGAATTTTATAATATAAAATTTAAAAAATTTTATATTATAAAAAGATAAGAAAAAATTCAAAACTGGATGCATCTCTTTATAGCATCACAGCAATTTTATCCCATAAGATTTATAAAAATAAGAAAATCTCTAAACATCTATTAAAAATAAATGTACAGGGAAAAGAAATAGTTACAAATCTTAAAAACATACGCCATTATCTGACTTATTTATAATGCCCTTTATCAAGAACAGTAATTCTACATCTAAGGTTTTAACCTCATATGACTGTAATATTTTACAGAAATTTAGAGAAAAGGCATATGTTATAGAGTTTTTCATGGAAAAAAGTTTCTTCACTGAAGGAAAGTAGAGTTATCTGTACATATATGAAGACTTACCATATAAAAATGGACTGTCATAGGTATAAGTTGTTTAATTGCAGCATTGGGATCAATAGATATTTCTGAAATAGAATTTAAAATGCATGAATATTTGTTCGTTTTGATTTGTGAACTCAAAGTACTTGTATGAACTATACTTTCTTAATGATTCCACAAACTCTTGAAAGAATTCAAAGCAAGGAAACAACCTACTAATATGAACATTAAAGTCAAAGTAATCATTATAATAGTATTTTTGGAACTTATTATGTGCTTAAAATTTGCAAAGTTTTGAGTAAAAGCTTTGAGCACAAAATGAGTCCCAGTGATACATGATTTCTTCACTTAATAGTTAAAAAAACAGACTTTGAGAGCTTAAAATTACTTACTATGGTTGTACGGTTGATAACTTAAGGAGCTGAAAACTGCATCCAAATCTTGCTGCTCTCTATGCCTATGTTATTATTGTTTGTGCCTCCTATAAAATGTCAAGTGAATAATGCAGTCTGATAGCTCTGGTTCCTATTTCGTTTTTGCTAAGGGTATATAAGTCTCTCAGGAAAATAGTTCTAAAAGCCAGGCTGAATTTAGCACACCCGTTTTCTTCAGGTTCCTGAAAAAGGTGCATTCAACGACTAACTAGTCTACTGAATGCATTTACTCATCCTGTTACCCAGAGCCTCCTTTATTTTTTGACAGGATCTGATGAGAAAAAAAAAAATACCACCAGACAGAGATATCACTGGATGAAAAAGATAAGAGAAAAGAAAAAGAACAAATACTGCACAAAAAGATAACCTTTCTCTGAGTGGCCCTGGAGGCCCAGGAGCCCGTCCAGTGTGACCCTTATCTATGGCACTACAACACAGGGCCCTTGGGCCGCCTGAGCACTGCTTGGAGCTCCTCCCTCCCAAAAGAGAGTTTTCTACTATGCTGGTCTATACATAACTTTAATTGGTTTTTGTCTTGTGGGTCACACCTGGTGATTCTATGGGGTTACTCCTGCTTCTACACTCAAAAATTATTCCTGACAGTGCTTGGGGGACGAAATGGCATGTCAGGGATGAAGTCCAGGTTGGCCACTTACAAGGCAAATGCTGTACTCGCTGTACTATCACTCTAGCCCATATATATATATATATATATATATATATATATATATATATATATTTAAAACAGACTTACAGCCAAACATCATTTAACTAATACTAGTGGTACAATCGAGAATGCCAGTATGCAAACCATAGATTTCAGCCTAATAGTACACCCGTTTACTTGATCTTTTAGCAAAAGGAAACCAAACACATTCATACCACACCATACTCTTAAGGCACAATTTTCTTAACAGACTAGAAAGCAGGTCACATTTGGCATCTAAAGCAAAAGTTATTGTATGATGATGCAAAAGCTTTAGAAGATATATATGTGTGTGTGTGTTTGTGTGTGTATGTGTGTGTGTGTACATATACATCACTTGTCACTTGTCACTTGCCATCCCGTTTATCATCGATTTGCTCGAGCGGGTGCCAGTATCGACTCCATTCGTCCCTGTCATGTGCTAGTGTAGCCCAATGGCTTACTGGGGGCTTTTTCAGGGTCAGGGGAATGAGGCCTGTTATTGTCATTGTTTTGAGCATATCAAATACGCCACAGTATCTTGCCAGGCTCTGCTGAGCAATGCATAGACATCTATATATATATATATATATATATATATGCATATATATATAAATCCTCTATCCCCAAAATACCTCATACGTGGACTCTAAGAGGAGAATGGAATCTATAGCTAATGTTTTTAAAAGTTCCACCATGGTTATGAAAATGAATCCACTTGCATCTCTCTATAAATATTTAATGTGCATTAATGTTAATGTGCAAGGATTACAAACATAAATTATTTAATAAGTAAGAAGACATTAAGAGAATTGCCATTTGTTGCAGTACAGACAAAATATTTACTTTATTACATACTTTCAAGGAAACTAAAGTCATGTAATTATTAAAAAATGATGTATTTCCCATAAAATTTCCTGTAGACTAGTATTCCCTCCTTTTCTAGTAAGCCTTACCAATTTTGTAATAAACTTTGTGTCTTTTTTACTTTTTATTTACCCACATGACTTCTGAGATTTTGCTGCAATATTTTACATCTTAACTTGAAAAGCCTGCCATAGAAGAATACCTTTACATTATTCTTTTACTATAATGCTCCAAGATTTTTATATTTGTAGGAGAATACATATCCTAGTCCCGCACCATGACATATAACAATGTACCACATGTCACAGAATCTAGCAGAAAGTGTAATTTATAACATCAACCATATGAACTCAAGAATTCTAAGACCCAATTGCTCTTATAAAGCATAGACAGTTTTATTTGTATAACATAGTTGGCATTTCCCATGAGCCACATAAAAGATCAAATGGTATCATAAATTCAAAAACTCTAGACTTAAATAGGACATAGTTGATGACCTCTTTCTTCCTAATTCAAATTTCTACCATCATTGGGAATTAAATGCTAAAAAAAGGCGTTTTTTTCCCCTAAAGGTTCATATTCAGTAAACATTAGCAAAAAAACAGGCTGCCATCATTTTTCATTTACTAAATGTCATTTCAAGTTGAGGGTGATTTTTTTCCCTCTGGTCAGCTTGTCAGAATGTCACGTTGGGGCTTTGTTTGATTTATAGGATTTTGGATCGCTATGTTCAGGAGCAAATTCCTGGTGCCAAGGTTGTAGTGGAGTCCATTGGTGCTCGCCGGCATGGAGATGCCTTTTCTCTAGAAGATTATACTAAATGTGACTTGACTGTCTATGCAATAGATCCTCAAACCAACAGAGCCATCGACAGAAATGAGCTCTTTAAGTAAGTATTTTATTTTCAGTGAGTATTTTACGCAAGAACTCTAGTTACATCAGCATATGAACTTTAAAACACACTTTTTAATGAAAGCAATGTATCGGAGACAATATTGAGGAAACAGTTTTCTCGTTAGAAGGTCTCAGGTTCAAATGTCAGATAAAGGGAGTTCAGTATCTTCTCCGTTTGTCATAATACTGAGTAATAAAGAAGAAGCTGTTCACTGACCACACTGTGCATCAGTTTCCATTCTAACTCTAGACCCTGGTGGTTTACAAAGAAATCATAGTTTTCTTTGTAAGAGGCATTTTATCTGCAGTAGAGTTCTTAAGCTTGAATTTTAAAAAGTAACCTAGCATTAGAGTCTGTTGATCTACCAAAATTAATATTGATTTTCTTTCACTTGGATGAGGGGGAAGAACATTCAGTGACATCTATGGCCATACCCTATAGTATATGTTGTCCTGACATTAACTTAAATGGTTATAAATAGAGTTATAAATCTTAAAATTTAAGAAAATATAGACTCTCAAGAACAAAGTGCTACTACAAAATCTTAGGTCTAGTCCTAAAATAATTTAACAATTTAATTTGCTGTTAATATTAGTTTCTCTTTCTACTAGTGACACCTAGTGTCCAACAAATTCTTGGAATGGTAATCTAGCTATATTGAAACACTTTTTTCAGTAAATATTTTTACATATTCTGATTTCTGGGCTGCAGCGATAGCACAGCCAGTAGGGCATTTGCCTTGCACGCGGCCAAACTTACCGATCTGGATTCAATTACTCTTCCCCTCTCAGAGAGCCCGGCAAGCTACCGAGAGTATCTTGCCCCCGCGGCAAAGCCTGGCAAGGTACCCGTGACGTATTCAATATGCCAAACACAGTAACAAGTCTCACACTGGAGACGTTGCTGGGCCCGCTCGAGCAAGTCGATGAACAACAGGAGGACAGTGACAGTAACTAGTGTTTAGGTACAATAATAAATATGTTAACATATAACAAGATTTTAGTTCTCATCTATTATATTAAATGGTATATAAATAAATATATGCACATACACATTTGCATATGTTGAACACGTATGTATCTACTTATTGAAAATAGTTGTCCACTTATCAAAAATATAAAATTTTGAATTTAGATTTACCTCAAATATTCTCATCAACAAAATTGAATTGTTCTATTATAGCAATAATAAAATAATGGCTTGGTGGATGAAACAATAGTATAGTGAACATTTGTCTTACACACAGTCAACTTGAATTTGATCCCTGGCATCATGTACGGTCCTCTGAGCCTACCAGGAGTGATCTCTGAACACAAAGATACCAGTAATCCCTGAACATGGTTAGGGATGGTACTAAAAAAAACAAAACAAAAGAAAGTTTAATTATAGCTTAATTTTTTAAAGAGCCATATTAAGTATGTTATTCATGAATTTATATTAATAGATAATTGGGCCATATGTAATATTGTATAATAACTTGAAGGAAACATAGATGAAGCAGTAGCTTCCTAAGACTTAAAATCACTCACAAAATGAAGTAGCATTTAGAACAACTAAGCTAATTTTGTTAGATATAATGAATGCACTAATTAGTAATTTAGTTTGAAGATAATTTTATATTCTTTCTATTGGTTATAATTTTAAATATTATTAAAATTTTCATTATTTAAACATACATTTATTAGATACATTTTAAATATTATGGATTTTCTTTTAGAATATTTTTCATAAGCAACCTATCTAGTTTAGTTAATGTGTAGTCTGACTGTAAAGAGTAAAATGACTTATGTTTTTACTTCATGATCACGATCATCCTGTTGTTCGCTGATTGCCTCGAGCAGGCACCAGTGACGTCTCCTTCCTAACCCTGAGAATTTAAAAGAGCCATATTCAATGCTCTTTCAGGGCAAGGAGAATGAGACCTATCATTGTTACTGGCATTTGGTATATTCAGTACGACACGGGAAGTTTGCCAGACTCTGCCATGCGGGCAGGATTCTCCAAAGGAAAAGCGAGATAATAAGATGTCACGTGACTGTGAATGGAGCCATGTGCTTCTGGGAGCTGGGTTTTATAGTCTCTGTGTCTTGGCTATTGATGGGACCACCTGGAGCCGGCGGCAGCTGGTGGGTGTGACGCCTACCTACTGAAAGATGGGAGATCTGGGTGGAGAAGGCCCAGTCCCAATCCGAGCAGGCTTGGAGATCTCAGTCCCGGGACCTGCATGCCTTGGTTCCTCTGCCATTTCCTTCATATATGAGGCTTGTCCAGACGTGTGGAGAGTGGTCTCAGCATGGCTGTGGCTGGTTCTGGAGGTCTTCGGCTGCTGGGGCTCTACTCCGGGGGGGGGGGGGGGGTGAGAGGGGGAAGGGGGAGGGAAACTCAACCTGCCTCCCTCCAAGGGGCCCCAGTGAGAACAGCCAGGTGTGGGGGCAGGAGACTCTGCCATGTTTTTACTTATGCTTGAAAATATCTTAGAGATAATAGGTAGAGATATTTAAGATATGGTTAAGATATGGTTTCAACCAAGAGTACAACATACAAGATAAATATCATTTAAAATATTTTTCCATACTGTGTTTTCTCTTTGAATTATATAAATATTTAGCCTCATTAAATAGAGTTTTCCAAACCTAGATCAGATTGTGAAAAATAGAAGTTTAAATTAATTTTAAATATTCATAACTCAAAAAAAGAAGCCAATAGAGAATAGTTGTAAGTCATTCCTTTAACTGAGGTGAGGATGGAATAACCAAAAAATACTTATATTTTTTCCTCAGCAGATTCCACCTGAAATGAAGACAATAAGATTATAGTTACTATTTTATGCGACACACATATATGCTTTTGTTGTGCAGGGTATACCCAGTAGTGTTAGGTTTCTGGAACACGTTCTTGTCCAGGACTAGGTGGAGCTCAGCCCAGCACTTCTGGATTCAACCTGAGCCACACCAGATGGTGCTTTGGTGGGGCGTGCTGCCGTGGGGCAAGGATCAAGGGCACTTGCAAAATATACGCTCTCGGTCTTGATCCAGGGCTCTGCCCTAAGGAATATGTTGCATATTAACCAAAATGGGTAACAGTATGACTGTTATCCATTCTGTAGTTATAGAAGTTATTGAGAATTTAGTTTTTTAAATGGAACAGTTGCATTAGAAAATTGTACTAGAAGATCATTACTAGACATTTCAATATGTTTAGCTTCACTGTGATTCTTAAGATAATTAATTCTTTGGTTAAAAGGATAAGAATCAAAAAGGATATTTCCTCCAAGTAGTTCATTTTATTTTAAAAATTTATAACAATAAATTTTATATCAAATAATGGAGATGAATTATGTAATGGAATATTATATTTCTTCTGAAAATTACATGTGTCAATGTCCTAATTTTTTTAACTATCTGAATTGTCTATGTTTTCAGAAATGTGTACTATTTTCGTACTGCTTGCCTTCTTGTGGCTCTTAAACTTGTGCTTTTTGTGTGTTGGTTTTATTTCTGCAATATTCTCAGGCATTATCTTCAAAATTTATTTCCATTTTTTCATAATGTATGGATTCTACAGTCTTTATTCAACACACAGACCATTTTTCTGTGTTGCTATTAGGGTTTACATTTTTTTTATTAAAGCGCAATAATTTGCAAAGTTGTTTAGAATAGAGTTTCAGGAATACAATATTCCAGCACCAATCCCACCACTTGGTGTCAACTGTCTTCCACCAATGTCCCAGTTTCCCTCTTACCCACCAGCCTTCCTCTAATAGACATATTTAAGTTTGATTGCAATAATTGGGGTTTCCTGCTGGAGCGTTATTGCTCTTTGGTTTAGGTATGTCCTTCACCTCAACACCACTGATTTGTCTTCAGGCCCCTGGTCACTGCCGCTGTCATTTGTCATTGTGATTTACTATGATAACTTCCATATGCTCTTTTAAGTTAATGGATCCAACTGTTATCAGTATACATTTAAGTTCATTGAAGGACTATCCACATAAGGACTATCCACAGTTGAATTTATAGAATATTGCTGTTTATATACTTTTAATCGCTTTATGAATTTCTTTCAAATTTACTTATCATTTCAACTTTTCCTAAGATTGATATTTTGTAATTGTATCAAAGTCTCTCTCTAGGTTTTGTATTTAAAGCTCATTTTTTTCCTTTGAACACATCCCTTGATTGCCTCATGTCCCTCTTTCAAACTTAGTTTCTTTATTGAGTATATATTTATTTCCTCCTTCCCTATCCCCGCAACATTTTCTACATAAGTTTTGTTTGATAAACACTATCTTGCTTCAGTTAAATAAAAAAATCCCTTCCTCTCTAGTTCCAATAGCTGTGTTATCTCCGGGTCTGGTTTTGTTGCTTTCTTTATGTTTTTAACAGAGTCTGCAGGTCTGAACCATGCCAGATATTTTGTTCTATGGTCTCATCTTGTACTATGAAAAAACACAGTGCAAGATTTTTCTTTTAGTTTCGTGACTCTATTCTTGTAATGATGATACAGTAATAGTGGCCTAGGAAGCCCCTGTTCTTGTGTGTACTGAATGACTAGGACTTGGGATACAGCTTTTAAGATGTTTTTGTTCTTTTTTCCTAATGTTTAACTGCTTCATTGAGTCAACACGAATTACAGAGTTACAAATTTATTCATGCTTGAGTTTCCAATGTACTCAAAGGCATCTACCATTTTAGGAATGATGGTGTTAGAAGAATATTCTTCCAACACCATTATCTTCACAAATGCCCACGATCCTCCACCAATGTCCCTAGTGTCCCTCCTGCCCCACCCCCCACCTGACCTGGCTTCCCACTACAGCAGGCATTATTTCCTTTTTCTCTTTTTTTACCTTTTAGGTTTGGTGGCTTATAATATTGTTTCTGACAGGATATTGTGCATATCAATTTAAACCCTTTCAGCAACAAGTCCTAGTTCAGTGACCATGTCCCTCCAGGATGGTCATAGTCGTCTTTTCCCTGATATATCTCACCTCT